AAACGAGGCATTTGTTGCATCCAGTGGGGACATAATTACTGATTATAAGGACTTATACTGTCTTTTTACGCGTTGCGTTGCATCGCGTCGCGTAAACATAAAACCATGTCTGCATTTGTGATCGGAGAAATGACAAACAACAAGCCCTACTCTACACTGCTCAAAACTCTCGCTTGAATGGCAAATCCTTTAAATATGAAAACGTACTTTGAGTCAGCATTATTTGTCAGCATCATAATTAAATTGATGGTTTAAAATGCTACAAGTGAATTTAGACATCACATTGTAATTCACACTGAATTTTTTAAAATTCATTTTCAATTTGCTAAAGATTAAATTTAACAGTAATATTACATTATTGTGTTTTTAAAGATTAACTTGTATCTTGTGTGTATACACACACACACACACACACACACATTATTATAATATATAATAATAATTATTATTATTATTATCAGTACTAACTACAGACATATGTTGACAGCTCTATTTTAGCACATAATATAGATTATATCTCAATATAATCCTGACGGCTTATTTCACCAGGACAGTTGTCTTTTGCCCTCTCTCATCTGGGGATATTACAGCTTAAATCTGCACTGACCGATGGGAAATCTGAACATCCGGTTATACACAGCTGGATAAAACCAGTGTAGTGATTTATGTTATAGTCACTGACCTTTTTCAGACTAACAATAATAAACCTCCCTCTAGTGAACTACTTTACAGGCTTAACCTTATACAGGCCTACAGTATAGTCTGAATCTCATATTTTATCAAATGTACATTACGTCATGAATAGACGTAGGCTACTAGCAATTTAAACAACTAGTAACACCAATAATATTAACAAAGATTATAGGTTATATAATGTTTTATATATATTTGTTGAACTGTGTTCTTAGGACAAGGGTATTTTTTATATTATGTTAGGCAAGTTATTTTCTCATTGGGGCAAGTTGTCATTTGTTTTAAATGTTAAATATTTATGCAGTTTAATTACAAGGTTCCCAAAAGTTTATGTCTGCCAAACCTCTTTGACCTGAATATTTACTTGAAAAACCTCTTGAGAAATTTTAAGTTAATATTTCACAACACATTCAGTGTTCACAGTTCTCTATTGGTTAATTACATGCAGGTGAACTAAGAAAATATCAACATTTTTAGTAAGTGTTTTATTTATATATATTTTTTTAAGTTTATATTTTTATGATATAATTATTAGCTTTTCATTCTCTGATGTTGGTTAATGACATGCAGGTAAACTAATAAAATATGTAACTGTTTTAGTAAGTGTTTTATTTTGTTTTGTTTTTTTATCATTTATTTTAATTTTATATTTTTAGGATATAATTATTAGCTTTTCATTCTCTGATGCTGCTTAATGCATGCGGGTAAACTAATAAAATGTCAGCTTTATATTAAGTGTTATATTTCTTTTTTATAATTTCTTTTGAATTAGAAATTTTGTAATATAATTATTAACTTTTTTCTCTGAATTTGGTTAATGACATGCAGGTAAAATAATAAAATGTCAAATTTTATAGCCTAGAATTTTGTATTTTTAATTTATTTTTAAATGAATATTCTATTTTTACATTTTTATGAAGTAATTATTAACTTTTTGTGAACTCTCAACCCCCAGGGGTTGATGAATTTCAGTTTGGAAAACCTTGAATTACAACATCTGTTAGTCAAAATAAAGATTCAATATTTTTGTGTTAGTTTCAAAAATTACTTTGTGATTCATGGATGTTTTGTGTGTTTACATTGTGCTGAAACGCCGATACAGGCGGTTTAATGACAGGTTCCATTGCGACAACTTTCCCATATTCAGTCCTGTGACAACAAGCCCCGTTATTGGTCAACATATGTTCTGCGAAATCTATTTTCCCCCTGCGCAATAATGTCGGAAATGTTCAGATGCATTTTTGCTTACACAGAAATGCTTTCAAAAATAATGGCGTAAATGGAGTGAAAAAGTGACCACTAGCCCCTATATTCACAGCATGTGTTTATGATCATCTGAGTGTATTATTAGCTATTAAGAGTGAAGTTGGAGTTTAATGTCATGTGATGTTGGGACTCGATGGGGTGGTGCCTGAGTGCTCAGAACCACGCTGCTGTAGTTCAGAGACAAACACAACTCGGTGAAGAGCGCGCGGGGCGAGTCATCTCTCTAGTTTTACCGCTTGTAACATTTCCTGAATGTGAGAGTGGAAAGTAAAACCGGTTCCGGGGACTTCGATGTGAGTTATCATGGAACAAGGGGAGTGCAAAATCTCGGTGTGGGTATGCCGGGAGGAGAAACTGGTGTCCGGGCTGTCCAGACGCACCACTTGCGCGGACGTAGTGAAAGTGCTGCTGGAGGACCAGAACTTCCAGAAAGGCGCGATGCTCACCGGTACTCCGCAGTCGTACTGTATCGTGGAGAAATGGAGAGGTTTTGAGCGCATTCTGCCGAATAAAACCAAAATCCTGCGGTTGTGGAGCGCCTGGGGCGACGAGCAGGAGAACGTGCGCTTCGTCCTGGTCAGGAGCGACGCGTCGCTGCCCAACAGCGGACCGAGGAGCGCAGAGGCGCGGGTCGTGCTCAGCAAAGAGAGCCCTTGCACTACCAGAGCCACCATGCAGATTTCACAGGAAAAACAGCGGAGGATTGTGCGGAAGGCTTTTAGAAAGCTGGACAAAATGAATAGGAAGAAAGAGGAGGCTTCGAGTGACAAATCATCGGCGGAGAAAATGGAAACGCTCGTACATCTCATAGTTTCGCAGGATCATACTCTCCGACAGCAGATACAGCGAATAAAAGAGCTGGATAATGAAATCGAAAGGTATGAATCAAAAGTTCACTTTGACAGAATGAAAATACACGGCGTAAACTACGTGCAAGACACTTATTTGCTCGAGCAAGGCTTGGATACAGATTCCAGCGCGCATCCGGACGCGTCCTTTGCGCAGTTTGAGGAATACGCGGCACGCTGCGACCAAGTCATTCAACTTCAGGAGGAACTAGCCGAGAGGGAGGCTCTGATGGAGATACTTACAGGTGAAATACAAGAAGAACTCAACCACAGGTGGATGAGACGGCGACAGGAGCAGCTTTCCAACAAAGACTCGGAGAGCACTGGAGAAGAAACGGCTCTCAAGGTGACTTCGGTCTCTGAGGAGCCGGTCCCAGTTGTTCCGGACCTCCTAACAGACAATGAACTCCAATTAGAGGAGGAGAGGATCAAAACACAACTGGATACGAGTTTATACATCGGGCTGCGCTTGAACACCGATCTGGAGACAGTGCAGAGCGACTTGGATATGAGTCAGGAGCTTTTGGACGCGAAGGAAAAGGAGTTGAGGGAATTACTCGAAAAGGTTCACAGATTAGACGAGTTGGAAGGGACACAGGCGGATGACAGCAAAGATGAGGGAGAAACTGAACAACTGCCTTCCGTAGACAAAGACAATGTTTGGGTAGAGCAGGCGAGGGGACTGTCAAAAACATGCACCAATGATGATGATTCGGACACCGGACTGAGTTCAATGCACAGCCAGGACTCGGATAACGCGCCTGTTTGCGAGTCACTTGTGTGACAGGACGATGTGGAAATCGTAAAGGGCCTAGAATCGTGAATGTGGCTCCGCGGGAATCATTTGAAACGGCGCGAACTCAGGGAAGATTTCGCCTCTATTGATTTCACGAATGTTCTCTCTTCATAAGAGAGGAACGCATGTAAATTATACCAGTGTAGTGTTATGATCGCCTCACTCTCCAATTGCCTCACTTATACACACGGAGAATAGCTTGTAAGGTGCAGCTTATCAAATTATAACGAATTAACCAATGCATTGACTGTCCACTGTGTGCTGACTAATGTTGTAATACCAATACTATGTATTTGTTTTACATAGACTTATGTTTAAAAGCTAGAATTAGAGTTTTGTGGGTTTCTAATATATATATATATATATATATATATATATATTCAAAATTTACATTGTTAAATATTGATGACTCATCCTGCACTACACTACACTGAACTCTCACTGATGTTCTCTAGACACATAGATAAAACATTATAATTCTTGGCTGTGATGTACCTGAAGTCTATTGGCTATTTAAAAATAAAAAAGGATGAGGCTTTCAATATGCCCTGGCCACACTTCCTTTTAAACAGGAAATATGTCAACAGGGGACAGAAATCGGTGTAGCTGTATTTACATCACAAACATGAACCATGATTTGC